GACTGTGTGCTGAAGACTGGGAGGGGGGATAGTGTAGGGGTCAGACTTGCAGGGTATACCCTTTGGTTGGTTGATGATGCATGGAGGGGATTGTAACCATGGCAGTGATATGATGTACAATAGAATGAATGTAAAACTAATGTTCTGCCATGTAAACTATCATATGTTGTTGTTGTTAAGTGCCATCGAGTCGGTTCCGACCCATAGCGACCCTGTTCAGGGTTTCTGAGGCTGTAAATCTTTACGGGAGTAGAAAGCCTCATCTTTCTTCCGCGGAGCGGCTGGTAGTTTCGAACCGCTGACTTTAAGGTTCGCAGCCCGATTCGTAACCACTACGCTACCATATAATTCCCAATAAAACACTAAAAAAAGTAAGCCTGAAGATCAGCTTCCAAATGGCTTTGAAAACCCTAAGCACAGTTCTACTCAGAAGCAACACAGTGACAACTAACAACTGAGACTAGCAAAGTCAAAGAAAGAAAGAAAAAAATCATCCTTTTCTGGTTCTGATACACATTCTATGACTTTTTTTCTCCTTTAAATATATTTTTTAAGTCAATATTAAAATTACCATTCCCAATGAACAGCAAAAAAAAAAAAAACTCATTACAAAAAAAGCAAGAGTTTAGTAAACTGTTATATGTATAACCACCAAAGTGAAATAATGTACAATACTGAAATAAAAAAAATAAATAAATTGGAACTAGAATACTTAAGTTTCAAAACCACCGCCCCTCTAATATTTGAAGTGGCCACCAAGTCACTTGCACAGACTAACCTCTATCACCAGCCACAGGGAGATGATTTCTTATTTTAAAGACCATGAATGATTTCAATATATAAAATGAAAAAAAAAAAAGTAAAATTTCAGAATAGTAACAACACAAGACATAGCTGAACTACAAATAATACCTAAACAGTATATCATAAACTATTATAATTGGAAAGAACAATTAATTTAATATAATGAACTCAGGCCTACAGAGGCGAAGTAAACTGCTCAAGGTCACACATTTTCCCAGTGCCTAAGAAGGTTGGTGTGGCACTGTGGGTTAATGAGCCAGACTGCAAAGTCATCTGAACTGCCAGGTCGGAGGTTCAAGCTCACCAGCTGCTCCTCGGAAACCCTATACAGGGTTGCTATGGTCAATATCAATGTGATGGCACTTAACAACAACAACAACAAGGAGGTTGGTGGTTCAAGCTCACCAGCTGCTCCTTGGAAACCCTCCCTATACAAGGTCGCTATGGGTTGGAATCAATTCGACAGCACTTAACAGTAACAAAGGAATCCTGGTAGCACAAACAGTTAAGCACTTGGCTGCAACCAAAGGATTGGTAGTTCAAACTCACTCTTCAATGGAAAACCAACAATGAAGTTGAAAAAGAAAAAGAAAAAAAATTCCACATTGGAGGTTATAAAATGATGCAATGAAGATTAGGGACTTGTTGGAAAGATGAAAAAAAGTAATCTGGGAATTCCAATACTAAGAGTTCAAATAATGAGACATTTAAATTGATAATATATTATGCAATTTGGATGATTTCCCAACAGAATGATTTTGTTAAATTTATGCAAAACATTTTAAGGGGGAAAATGTCATCATAGTAATAATGACAACAAAAACAATAAATGTTTTACAATAAGAACTTAAAATCATAAAGCTTAATCAAAATCAAGAAAGAGTAAATCCCTTGTGTCTCACTTCATAGAATAAAAGGCAGGTGATATGGGAGAGTGACAGATGACAAGCATGTTCAGGGCATTATTATCACAGCCAGAAAAATGAAGTCAAATGGGAAGACTAATTTGGATCATTCAAGCAAAGCACAAACACTTATTTTGAGAGGGAAGGGGACATCCAGAACTGGAGGGTTTTTTTGTTTGTTTGTGTGTGTGTGTGTGTGTGTGTGTGTTTGATTGGCAAAGACAGACCACTTGAGTCATTCAGAAGACCACCTCCCCAACCCTTGACTCTACTAAAACTATTAGGTTACCAGTTTAAACAAGAGAGATAAGACAAAGTTATGGTTACACATTCTTTCATTCCCATATTGTGTATTTTCACATTCTTGAAACACAGTTTCTTTCATAGCTTAAATGTTTTAGACCTTACACCAAAAATATCCCCTGAAATCTTCTTAAAACCAAACAAGTTTAGCTTCACTAGTAAAAAATGTCTACCTTGAGACCAATAAGCTGTTTTAAGATATATCTTTAACAACAACAACAACAAAACCCACTGCATTCAAAATAATTCCAATTTATAGTGACGCTATGGTGGTGGTGGTTGTTATGTGCCGTGGAGTCGGTTCTGACTCACAGAGACCCTGTACAGGGTTTCCAATACTGTAAATCTTTACAGGAGCGGAAATCCTCATCTTTCTCCCGCATAATAGCTCGTAGTTTCGAACTGCAGACCTTGAGGCTCACAGCCCAATTCGTAAACACTATGCTACCAGAGAGCTCCTTATAGTGACACTATAGGATGGAATCAAATTGCCCCCAAAGTTTTCAAGGTTGTAAATGTTTACAAAAGTAGGCCGCCACATCTTTTTCTCGAGGAGAGGTTGGTGGGTTCGAAGCACAAATATTTCAGTACGTAACTGAGCATTTAACCACTGTACCACCAGGGCTTATGTAAGTAAGATCTATCTATGGGATCAAACTGACAACAGCAACTCAAAAAATTAGATAGGAGCCTTAGGGGACAGGGAATGTATGCTAATGGAGAAGAGACAACTCAGAAAAGGAGGTGGGACTAATTGCACAAGTCAGGGAATGTAACCAGCGTCACAGAAACTGATGAACTGGTTTTTGGTTTGCTATGTACATTCTCAACAAGAACAAATAAAAGAAAATGTTAAAATTGGTTTTAAGTTTTAGAATTGAGGATGACAAAGAAAAAGCATTTGAACTACATTTCAAAGAATGTCAAATGACTAATTTTAGTGCTCACAGCTTATAATATCAGAGATCTGCTAATATTTCATTCCACAAGCACTTGCATGTTAGATGAACATAGAGAGACACACCAAAAGAATGGGAGGGGGATTTTATCCCATTTTCTCCCCAAAGCTGCACAAGACTAACATGCAGCTATCACTACATTAGAACATTTTCTGTCATGGATTTTACACACAATCATCCTCAGCAAGAGCCCTACTGAGCTACCATGTCAGAACTGTCTTTTGAGAGCAATAAAGTTACAACTCCCAAGTTCATCTAAGCCCAGGGGACTCATGGCAACCTAAGACTGGTACACTCAGACGTAATAAGCAGCATCCTATGTAACTAAATACACAAGGATACCAGTCCAAATAAGTGACACTTACTTATGTCCATTTAAGGCTGCGTGGTGTAAAGCAGTGTAGCCCGAACTGTCTGTGCAGTTCACATTGGGGCCTCGCCAGATGCTGAAAATAAAGCAAAAGCGCAGAGTTAACGGTTGAGCAGAATCGTGCTTGGAAAAACAAAAAGCGTGATTGTCCCACAGCCAGCAGCATGTTGCACATGAAAATTTTAGTCATGTCGAAAATGACTGCCATTTTTCATGCATTCCCCTTAGAACAATAACCTCATTGATTAGACGCAGCGAAATTGATGAGGAATGTAACAAATCTCAGAAATTACTAGCAAGCCTATGACCACTGCCACACATTAAAGGTTGGATCTGAAAATTCCCTCTGACTCTCTATCCTTATTTAAATATTGTAAGCAATTAACACTCTGATGCTAAATTCTGTACCCAAAGAATAAAGATTTATGGCACCCGCCTCCTCTCTTTCAACATGCACACTTCAAGATGGCAGTGATTTCTGTAAGTCATAAGATATTTTTGCACTGTGGGAGAATAAAATATTTTCTTGCTGTTCTATTGCTACAAAAAAAAGTTACAATCAGTATTTCATACTTGAGAGCATAATTGAAGAGTTGGAGTGTTGTAAGCCATAAGAAGATTTCAACAATTTTGTAGTTATCATTGATTTCACTGTATAATATATTCTGGATAAAACATGTACCATATAAAAAAGCCCACTTCCTGGCAACAGTGGTGGTGGTGGTAGTGGTGGTTGTGTGCCATCAAGTCAGTTCCAGCTCATAGTGACCCTGTATAAGGTTTCCAAGGCTATAAATCTTTGCAGGAGCAGAAAGTCTCATTTTCTCCCATGGAGCAGCTGGTAGATACACACTGTGCCCTTGTGATTAACAGGCCAACTCAAAACCCACTACAATACCAGGGTAAAATAAAAAGATTATTTTATTCTTATTCAATACAATTAAACTATTTTCAGCTTTTGAAAAAAATAAAGCATTGAAAGGCACTTACCAAAAACTGACCAAAAAATGACAGTATCTGATATTCATAATCATATTATTTAATAACTAGTTCATATATTCACTAAATATTCACTGTATACCAATTATATGCCAGATATTAAACTAGGCACTGTAACCAAAAAAATCTTAAAGCCCTTCTTTACGAGAACATTCTAAAATGGAGAAGATAAGGTGCATGTGGTAAGTTTTGTGTCAACTTGGCTCAGTCAAGATTCCCAGTGGTTTGTAGCTGCGATGCAATCATCCCCCATGATAAGATCTAATATAATGTAATCAGCCCCAAGAAGTTATGCAATGTGATCAGCTCTGATCTGATGTAATTATCCTACCTGTTGTAAATCACACTTCTGTGATGTTAATGAGGTCAGTTGCAATCTACATGACTAGATTATATCTTGAGTCAAATCTCTCTCCAGCTATAATAGGAGAAAGAAGTGAGCAGAGAAAGAGGGGGCCCAAGACCACCAAGAATGTCTCCTTTGGATCTGGGGACCTGCTCTGAGACGCTCCTTGTTGTTGTTGTTGTTAAGTACCATCAAGTCGGTTCGAACTGATGGTGACCGTGTACAGGGTTTCTGAGGAGTGCCAGGTAAGCTTGAGCCAGCGATCACAAGGTTCAAACTGACCTTACAGCCCAGCGCATTAACCCAAAATGCCACACCAGGAGCTCCTAGATCCAGGGAAAGAGTGATTCTAAAATACATGGAGATCTCCAAGGAATGCTAAGCCTACAGAGGCTGAAAGGAAACCAGGAACTTCCCCAGAGCTTCCACTCTGAATTCATACTTCTAACCTCTAAAACTGTGAGAAAATAAACTTCTGGTTGTTAAAGTCATCCACTTGTGATATTTCTGTTATAGCAGCATTGGAGAACTGAGGCAGTTCATAACTACTAATCACATAGTGGGATAGCTGAGGTATCATATCTCTAAGAAGAGAAAAACCTACTGCCGAAGGGCTGATCCTGACTCATGGCGACCCTTTAAGTCATAGAACTGCCCCATAAAGTTTCCAAGACTGTAAATCTTTCCTGGAGCAGACAGCTTCCTCATTCTCCCACAGAGCAGCTGGTCACTCTGAACTGATGACCTTGCGGCTAGCTGCCCAACACTTAATCCAATGTATTACCAGGGCTCCTTTGAGAAGAGACTGACTAGACATTCCAGATAAGAGATCATGACAGACTTACACTAACATGGAACAAAGAAAATAAACTCTAGTCTTTTAAAGACACACTCCAGGAAATGAAAATAGACTGGAAAGAAACATTTGTAAATTACATTTTCTGATACAATTTTGTACCTAGAATATATAGTTTTACAATGCACTAAAAAGAAAATTAACACCCCAATAAAAAATGAGCAAAAGAGCTGAGCAGACACTTTGCCATGGAAGGCTTGCAGATGGCAATTGTTAAGTGCTGTCAAGTCGGTTCTGACTCACAGAGACCTGTGTAGGATTTCCAAGGAGAAACTGGTGGGTTTGAACCACCAACACTGTGGTCAGTAGTCCAATGTTGAACCTGCAACACCACACCAGGATTCAAGAGGGCAATTAGAACAAGAAAAAGATGCTCAGAACCATTTGTCACCAGAGAAATTCTAATTAAAATGACAATGAGATACTACAACAAAATATTTGGATGGCTGTCTTTAAAAAGGCTTGTCATAGAAATGTTGGCTGTGATGTGAATCAACTGGATACTCACACAGTACTAGTGAAGCTGTAAAAAAGTACAACCAAGTTTAATAGTTTCCTATAATTTAAACAAATACCATTATAGAACCCAGCCATTCCACTGCAGGTAAAGGAAGGAATTATTTTTGTTGTACAAAAATTATTTTCTTCTGTAAAAAAATTTGCACAAGAAAACTTTGGTGTATAATCGATAGGTTCATTATCTTTATTATGGTGATAGCTTATGATACACCTTTTGAAACTGTATTTATTAAATATGTACATTTTTGTATGCCAATTATACCTCAGTAAAGTTTAACATGTTCTTAAGTGCCTACGAGTCAGTTCTGACCCTAGCGACCCTGTATAGGGTTTCCAAGTAGTAACTAATGGTAAGCTTGAACTGCCAGCCTTGTGGTTCAAACCGACTTTGTAGTACAGTGCATTAACCCACAGCACAACACCAGAAGCCAGGGTGTTTTCAATAACCTCATATGCATGCAAAAGCTGGACAGTGAATAAGGAAGGCCATAGAAGAATTGGTGCTTTTGAGTTATGGTGTTGGAGAAGAATATTGAAAGTGCCATGGGCTGCCAAAAGAACAAACAAATCTGTGTTGGAAGAAGTGTAGCCAGAGTGCTCCTTGGAGGCCAAGATGGCCGAACTTCATCTCTCATACTTCAGACATATTGTCAGGAGGGACCAATCATTGGAGAAGGAGGATAAGAGAAAAAGACGTTTGTTAAGGTGGAGGATAAGAGAAAAAGACGCAGATGCCAGTGAGATAGATTGGCAAAGTGGCATCATCAATGGGCTTAAGCATGGGCAACAATTGTGAGGTTGATCCAGGATGAGGCACTGTTTCATTCTGTTGTACATAGGATCTAGGATCGCTATGAGTGGCACCTAACAATAACAACAACAACAAAAGTTTAACATAAAAAGGAAAGGTTACTTAAATACCTAAGAATCAGATTCTCAGGTCCTCTGCATAACTCAAGAGACAGCAGAATGGGAGATTTATTCTCAGGTTGTTGATTTAAAGAAGAGATGACAAACAGGCAGGCAACAGCTTCTGAAATACGAACAGCTAGGATTTTATGCTCCAGGGAGTACACCAGTGTATCTTTATCAAGAATATAAGGCCCAACAATGACTCAGTCAGATTATCATATAGTAAAGCAAGTGTGCTTGAAAGTATTTAACAAGAAGCATTGCAAACACAGAGGGAGTAAAACTGGGAGAGACTTTCAAGGCCAAGTGGCAGCATCAATGGGCTGAAGCGTGGCAATAACAGTGAGACTGGCCCAAGATTGGGCAGTGTTTCATTCTGTTGTGCATAAGGTCTCTATGAGTCGGTACTGACTCAATGACACCCAACAACTACAACATCAAGGCACGAAGTGGCTGGCTTACAA